TTTGCTATAGAGCTTTAAGGTCTATGCAGAACCTTCATAATGGCCATGGTGTCTTTCTGAATTACACAAAACTAAATCATTTTAGATAAAGACAAGAATAAATCCATGTGTGCTTGCACTAGACTTTGCTCTATATTGCAAGGTTAAAATGCTTTTTTGGGTCTGGGATTTACATATATAGACATTGTTCAATCCCATCTCTGTTCTTTTCTGCTAGTAGTTCCAAAGCTGCTTCTGTTCCTCAGCTCGCTACACATTAAGGAGAGCTGGAATGTGCCCTTAGAGAGTTGTTCCCAAACTTTACCCCATCACTATCCCAATTCCAGCTGAGGTCCACTCTAATGAGTTCATGACCACATCCACTAGCAAAAGGAGGGTAATTTCTGTTCTGGGATCCCCCTCATAAATGTACCAACCTCCTTTGGGGCTGCAGCCCTTAATTTAGGAATCACTTCTTGAGCTGTCCAAAGCAATGGTGTATGGAACTTACATGTCAGAAATTTAGAAATCAGCTTAACTGATGGTATTTTGTGTTAGTTTAATATTATTTAATCAACCAATATTTATGCTGCTGCTTGTGATTTGAAATCATAAAGGGAAAAGGAGGACTATTACCTGACTGAGGAGCGATGTAAAATAAAAGCATCTCTCCAGGTGATTTATAGGCACAGAGATGTAGGAAGATGAGATTTACTAAGCTTGAGACATGGTCTGGCTCCTTCCTGCTCATGACTTTCTTGGGATATTTCTGGACATGATATAAAAAAATATTTCTCTGTTTAGCTACCCCACTGGTATCTGAACCCTGGTCCTTGAGATAAGATAGGCAGAAACACATTCTTTTTCTAGTCTTTGCAGGGTAAAAAAGCCTAATCACTGGAGATGTTAACTGAGGATAGGCAGAAACACATTCTTTTTCTGGTCTTTGCAGGGTAGAAAAGCCTAATCACTGGAGATGTTAACTGAACTGATGTGCTGAAGAGAGAAGGGCAAAGGCAGAACCCCTTCCTGCCTCTCCTGTCTGCTCTTTGCCTGTTCGAGGTGGAAGCTGCTAGGAGGGGGGACATGTCTTCTTATAAGCCACTGGCTCCAAACGAGCTAAGTGCATGGATCATAGTCACCATAGAAAATAATAAAAGAGATAAAAGGTAAGCAATTCTTAATGGTATTTTAGCTGTCGTTTCACCCATCCTCCTCACCATCTAAGGAAAGTAAATAAAGTCAACTTTAGCATCATGTCCAAGTCAAGGACTGATTTTAGCAATAGCACAACTCTTGAGGAAATGCATTTCCCCAAAATATCCATTGTCTAGTCACCTGCTACCATTAGGACATGATTTGAATAGCTTAGAGCTGCTCTGAAGGCCTATGACAGAAGGACAACGTCCCCCTTCCAGCGCATGAAACAATTTTATTATGTATTTGTTTATGATCCTTAAAAACAAGAAGATACTTTAAGATTTTAATGGCTGATGAGCTTCTGGTCTACATATAACTGAGAGAGTACTGCTTTTTGCTGCAATTAATTTTTATATGTTATAGACACCCAACATAAACCAGGCTCAAAGTATCCAAAAAGCCCAAGTCATTATCAGGACAAAATTACATATTAGAAATATAGAGACAGAAGGGGCTAGAAGTGTGTATCTTCCTTCTGCTTCATCATAAAAGGGCTTCCTGAAAAATTTAAAATAGAAAGCCAGAAGAAATCACTGTAAGCTATGAGATAGTTGTTACATTTGTACATTTTTTCAAGTAGCCAGTTCTCAGAGTTGATTTCTTTTCAACATTGAGAGTCAGACTCTACCTTCTTGAACTCTTGTGCAACTCCGGCAGTATTCAGTGGAACTTTTTCACACGTAATATCATAAAAAAAACTGACCCAGGCTGTGTCTAACACCAGTGCTGCTATTGTTTAAAAGGGATAGTAGGACTTTTTTTCAGGTGGTCACTTTGCATAGCACAGAATACCATGAGATCTGGTGGGATGGGAATGAACACTCTTGCATGGCCAATAAACACAAGCTTGTTATTGGATCATGCATAGGCAGCAAGGCAAAACACAAATGTTACAAAAAAAAAAAAAAAAATCAGCACTTACATGATGATGGTTTTCTTGGGCACTTTAGTCTCTTGTTCAGTGACTACAAAGAAAACAGTATGAACAGCATGGGGTTAAAGAAAGGCAAAAGCTGAAATGATTAAATTAACTTTGCTCAGTTAATCAAAATAAACTGGAGTGAAAAAAACAACTGTACCATCCCATCCATGCTTTCTGTGGTTATTTCTAGCATCAACTTTAGTGTTTCTGACCAAGAATGAGAATTCAGAGTGCTCTCTGAACAGTGAATAATTTAGCTTTGAAATTAAATATTTTGTGGAGAACAATATTGCAAAATCTGTTTATTCTACCATGAGAGTCCGACATTTTTGTTTGGCAGGTCAAAGCTAGAAAACAAGGTCCCTATTTTTTTTTTTTTTCTTCCCTGTAATAAGGTAGTGATGGTGTGAGAAACCTGAAAATGCCTTGATCTGGAAGATCCTGGAGAGCTGAAATTCTTTAAACTGTGATTTCACTTACTAGAAAAAGAGTTTCCCCAAACACTAAACAGTTCCCAAGCTTTTGTGGACTAGATGCAAAATCCAAGCTGATAACAATGAAAACTAAAATCATTATCATCAGTACAGAAAATCAGCATCAAAAAAAACCCCCTAGGAAACCCAGGAGAGCTCTGTAATACACCTATGTCTACTCCATCTCTTTTTTTGCTATAATTTCCAATTTTTCCTGACCCTTGTCCCGTAACAAACTAGAAGTTGTTGATGCATATCAAGATCAAAAGAAAAGTAATGATTTAATGATTTTACAAATATTTCTTAAAAAGGACATTTTGAAAAATAAGAAAGATACCATTTGAAGAGCTAAGAGGGATTTTCTGCAGGTGCCCATCCTATCTGCTGGAATAAAATTAAGATGCTCTTTGAACCAGACTGTTTTGAACACACTCTGAACTGCT